AGATAGATAGATGATAGATAGATAGATAGATAGATAGATAGATAGATAGATAGATAGATAGATATAGATAGATAGATAGCAATAGCAATAACACTTAGACTTATATACCGCTTCATAGTGCTTCACAGCTCTCTCTAAGTAGTTTACAGAGTAAACTACTTAGAGAGAGAGAGAGAGAGAGAGAGAGAGAAAGAAAGAAAGAAAGAAAGAAAAATAGGACATAATATACAGTAATATAGCAAACATTTATTCAGAAAAGATATCTGAAGATATCAGTAAATTGTATTGGACTTAGCTTTATATTTAAGACTTCATTTTTGTTAAGTGAAGCTAAAGAGAAACAAATTATGTATCACCTTACATGCTGAGTGACCTTGAAGGTGGAATATATCTGCTTAAAAGAAACCGTCTTAATAAATTCAACATCCCTTGAATATACTGTATAATGGAAAGATTCCTTAAAAAAATAGAATCATCTTTCAAAATCCAGCTACATCAATATAAGTTCTATACTATTTGGAACTGATTTTGTAGAGCTTTTGTGTTCTTTTTTTGTGCAGGTTTTTTGCACTAAATTGTATGAGTCGGGAATTCCACCTGATGTGGTAACAGGAATATTTTCGAATATTTCTTCCATATATCGGTTCCATGAACAGTTTCTCCTTCCTGAACTCAAAACAAGGATTACAGATGAGTGGTGGGTAAATGAAAAGTTACAAGGAAATATTTCCATATCAAGAGCTTCCTCATAAGTAAAGCAAGGTGTTTTTTTTCCTGTAATACACTATTGATATTAGTATAATATATTTACAAACACATAATATATACTTTACAATAGAAACTTAACAAATTTCACATTGCTTTATTGGGACTAATAAAATAAAGGAAGACAGGAATATTCTCGTAAAACTATTCAATAGTCTTCTACCATTTCCCTAACCTTAAGAGTTATTAGTCAGACCTAGTATAGCAGCACTGACCTTTCCCACTGTGTTCAGAGTTAGTAACTGCTACATGCTTATATTCTCACTGGGTTAATTAAGTTTGCATCAGTAAAGCCTACTTTTACAAATTGTAGCACAAGCAGAGCACTGGCCAAATGTAGAACTGGGTCCATAAAGAGACACTTGGGTGGATTCTAAAGTAATAATCTGTAGAAAGAATTTATTCATACAGATAATCAATTTAGTGATGTGTAATATCAGGTTGCAGAAATTAAGATGGTTTAAGAAGTACAAGGCCACATTTTGCTTTTTCTTTAAATGATAAATTGATTTGGTCAGTTAGACATTATGTAAATACATCCTGAAAAGTGTATAATTCAGTAATCACTTATCAGCTTATCTCCAAAGTGGTTAATAAGGGTGTAACTAATGGTTATAAATGATCTTTAACATCGTCTTAAAATTTTGCTGGTGTTTTATGATATTTCAAAATATTTTGAATATCACTAAAAACTTTCACTATTTCCAGGTGTTCCAGACATGGACATTCACAATACAAATTGTTTTCAATGTTGAACTTAATTTTATATAATACATTACAAAATCAAGTAGAGTTGTCTTTATGCAACTACAGGTGAATAGATCTAGATACTATCTGTATTTGATAGAAAAAGATATAGACATTTGGTGATTTCCATTTGTTGAAAATCTTTTGCCTCTTCAAAAAATTGTCCAGGATTTCAGAGTATAGTGCTACCTTGTGGAGGGAAACAATCAAAAGTTGTTTTTATTTCTGAATCCCATCATTTGCATATGAATCAAACCTAGGGTATGCCTATAATAATGATGAATCCAAGTTTATATCTCTCCACCTCTTTAAATGTGTGTCTTTAGGGATAAAAATCCAAGGTTAGGAGACATCCTCCAAAAGCTTGCTCCATTTCTGAAGATGTATGGAGAATATGTAAAGAATTTTGACAGAGCAATGGATATGGTAAACACATGGATGCAGAGATCATCTCCTTTTAAGGATGTCATCCAAAACATACAGGTATGTTTCTAAGTTGCCATTTGGAATATAAAATGTATGTATTTATTCTTTTTCTTTGTTATATGCCAACATATTTTCATATTGTTTTAGCCTTAACCACAGACTATAAAACAGAAGAATAACATAAAACCATAGAATTAAAACTGATCTTAAAGTAAAGAGAGCAGTTTTGAAACATTCAATCTCAAAGAAACATTAAAAACCCATTGTAACAAAAAGATTTCTTTAGCTAATTTAAAACTAATTGGGTATGAGATTGATCTGAAATTGGGACTGAATTCTGCAACGGTGGTGCCTCAAGTGACCTGGCCTTATGCTATCCTTACACCAGCCATAACATTTTGCTTATAACATTTTTCAGTACATGCTGTCATCTCGTATACCACAAATTTGTCAAGATGAACTTGAATTTATGGATAAGCACACCAATGACCTTAATTGATGACTTTCATTTTAATTTGTTTGATAGACTTATAGAGGTTGTGTGTGTAAGAAAGGTGATACTAAAATATTGAAAAAGTATTTCAACAAAGAAATGTGAACAGTGTAGAAAAGGGAGAGAAGAGCTTCTGTAATTTATGATGTTTAGACTGAAATTCGGCTATTAATCAGGATCTTCTCTCTTTCTGACACTTTCCTTCTTTCCCCCTTTATTTCTGGTGATTTGCTATATGAAAACAGCTTTGTATAATGTTTATTTTCTTTTGCCTGCAATATTTGCCACGATCTTCATATGAATAATACTACAGTCTGTGACCCTTTGTATAATCTTTATGGAATGGCATAAAAAATATTGCCAAAATCTCATGATAGCTGCTGATACAGAAACATGTTTATATTCTGAATTTGATTTCTCATTAAATTTGATTTCTTATTAAACTATTTTTAAAATGGCTAACAGTTACATGGAAATAAGACTGACTGTGTTTGTATGTAGGTGTGTATAGGGGTGCAAACATACAACATAAAGATTGCTAGATATTTTTTAAATATTGTCAATCATTCTGTCCTTATGGAACAAGCATTGGGTTTGAAGAAAGAAAGTGTGTGTTTGTGTTTGAGTGGTTCTCTCCTCTCTCTGTAGTTGGAGACAATAAATGTTGGCCGGGGCTGGATGGCTGGAGGGAATCGATTGAGCCCCTTCTGTGCTTTGCCCACCTCAAATTTGGACTACTGCAATATTATCTACATTAATGCAAGACCACACAGAAGCTATAGTTGATCAAGAATGCAGGACAGGCTATTATGAGTTTGGCACAGTATGCACATGACACACTTTTGCTTAATGAACTGCTGCATAGTTACCCAATTACATTTTAGATGTAATTGAAGCTTCTGATTATCATCTATAAATTGCTTTATAGCATAAGACCTGGTTATGTGATATAATACCTGCCTTCTCTAATTTCTACCCATTCTGTATGAACTAACAGAGTCAGCATGCACCCTCAATGAAATAGAATAATTTATGGTTTTTATGGTTTTATTAGAATTTGTAGGCCGCCCTTTTCCCTGAGGGGACTCAGGGCGGCTCACAGAAAACCGGGAGATGGGACCTAAGAAGCAAGCTTTCTCTGTTATGGCATTTATCCTCTGGAATAAGGTTTTCCTAGAGAACTGTTAGGCCTCCATCCTGCCCTTATTTAAACAAGGCCTTAAAACTTGCTTTTTTTACCAGGCCTTGGGCTATAATGAGCAAAGGATCCCTTCAGAAAAAAAATGGTTTGTTGATTGCTGGTGTGTGTCTCTCTGTGTATTTTCTGGATATTCCTTTTTTGATTACTTGTACTTTATTATTTTATATTGCCTTAAATTTTACTCTACCCAGTGTGAAGTGGGACTGAATATCCTACCAATTTAATAAATAAGTCATCAC